CCTTCTTTCCTTCTCTCCCTCTCTCCCTCTCTCCCTCCCCCCACCTTACTTATTGTCACAAGTTGAGTAACACTAAATAATAATAATTGTTTTTTGTCAGGCAAAAATGGGAGCCCTCAGGGCCTTTGTGGTGGTCCTCTCCTTGGCAGTGACGTCAGGAGCTCAGCGTCCCCTGCAGTACCTTGAGGATGTGCCACCAGCAACTCCTCCAAGTCTCCTTACTACCGTGCCTATGTCTGATGCCAATGTACCAAAGAGTGAGAAAACTGAGGAGCATCTACTTGCAGATAAGAATAAGAATGTCACTGAAATAAAGGTAAATGTTTAAGGTGCCCTCCTTTAGTAGAAGGAACAGGTGTGATTGTTTGATAAGGTGGAAGGATGGATATTGGGTGTATTTTTGTATTATACTTATGCTTTAGCCATTATTCTGTTACAAAGTAGAGACATTATTTCAATTATATTATCCTTTGAGAATGATGACACCTATTTGACATCACTATGGCCAACATGTTTTTTTTTCCAATGCATTAAGCTAATTGATATTCTTGTGTGAATCAGTATAGTAGTAATGATACAAATGAAGTTGTTTACATTTGTCCCCAATACAAGCTCATCAGTTTCCTGGTAGAGAAGGGGGAACATTGCTCTTGTTCTATTTGTTTGTTTATTCATGTATTTATTTTTTTTTTTTTATAATTTTTAGTTATTGTAAATGCAGGAAGATGGAGTATGATTACAAGCAAACAAACAAAAATCTATTTTTCACAGGACCAGGACCAAGATCTGCAAGATATCCAAGAGAAAATTATGTCAACAATGCCTTCCTCAGACCAAACTGAGGTAACCACAGAAGAAATGTTGGCTAAGGTCTCGACTGTCACTCCTACACCCGAGCCTCTTCCCACACCACTGCCTGTGCTTATTGACATAGGTCAGTGTCAGCTTGTTGATTTTTAAATTTTTTGTTGCTATTATTGTTACCATTTTCTTCTTTCCTTTTCTTTTTCCTTTTCTTGTCTTCTCTCATCTCTTCTTGTCACTTCTTTTGCTCTTCTCTTCTTTTCTTTACTTTCTTCTCTCTTCTNTATTTGTTGGCGACTTTCGTCTCATTTTAGATTACTTCTGACAGGCAATTCACAGATAATTCCCGCACTCGAGAAGAGAACAAGGAGAGGAGGGTATAACTTACGTGTTTGTATATCATAGTCGCCATAGCAAACATGTATAACATAACTGTATAAATACACATATAACACATACATAAATATTCACAGGGAGAGAGAGCGGAGCAGAGTTAGGAGATCTTAAGGTTTATTTTGCCTTTTTAAAACCGTGCGTGTATTGTTGGGATCTAAACAACTGAAGTGAAAAGCCTGCCGCCCAGGAAGGAAGCATGGAGGCGGCACAGAGGGGTCGCAAAAACTTGAGCCACCTTGTAATCGACAGAGCACAGATCCACCAATATATACTGCAATTACACAGGTTGCCAAGGCACCAAAGTACGAGATGCATCAGCGACGCTCGGCACGCCCAGACACGACTGATGCGCTTCGCGCCATATACACAAAGGGGGAGCAAGCAACACAATAGTCCTTTGGCAGGGTTTGCAAATAGTGACGTCCGTCGATAACCTATATCTAATCGTCATTGAGTTATGCAGGAGGGCGCAGCAAATTGTGTGTTGAATTAGTGTTTTGTAAAATTGGTGTTGGGCGTACATCGAGGGGGGGGGGTTTGGGGGTTGGGAGGGGGGCGACGTGGAGGACAACCGACGACGGAGGCGCGGACCTCTCTGTCTCTCTCTCTCCTCCAACTTCCCAAAGTCTCAGTACCTATTTCATCGTCCCCGCGGATCATGGCTTTCAGATTCCATGTCTTCTCTTCCATCATCTCTCTCTCACTCTCAGTCTTCTCTCTCCTCTCTCTCTCATCTTCTCTCTCTCTCTCGTGTTAGATCATCTCTCCTCTCTCCTCTCCTCTCTCATTCACTCTCTCCTTCTCTCAGTCTCTCTTTACTCTCTCTCTCTCTTCTCTCTCTCCTTCTCTCCTTCTCTCGCTTCTCATCCTCTCTTCTCTTCTCTCCTCTCCTCTCCTCCTCATCCCTCACTTTCCCCTCCTTACCTTCCTCCTTCCTTTCCCTCCCTCCCGTCCCTCCCTCCCTCCCTCCTCTCCTTTCTCTTTCCCTCCTCCCCCATCTGCTCCCCCTTTCCTTTCTCATTCTCTCACCCCTCTCCGTTTCGCCACCCGCTTCCCATCCTCCGCCATCCCGCTAGACATACTCTATTAATTTCTACCTTTTTGTTACACTCCTTTTTGGCCTCTCGGTCTCTTGGCCTATGCCTTTTGTGAACCCCGCGCTTGGCAAGGCGTTAACTAGTGTGAGTGCAGCGCATGTTTCGTAATCCGTGCGTGAGTGAAAGAGGTTTGGCTGGATAGAGAGAAGGGGGAAGAGAGGAAGAGGGGGGGAAATAATGGAGAAAGGAGAGAGGATAAGGGGAGGAGAGGAGAGGAGAGAGGGGGAAGGGAAAGGAAAAGAAGTAAGGGGAGGGGAGTGAACAGAGAGAGGGGAAAGGATGAGAGAAACGAGGGAGGGAGAAGAGAGAGAAGAGGAGTGAGGAAGGTGAGGCAGAGAGAGAGATTGAAGATGGAAGGTAGATAAGGGAGAGGGAAAGGGAGGGAGAGAACGATTGGGGAGTAAAGATAAGAGGAGGGCAGAAATGGAGTGAGTGCAGGAAGAATCAGTATTTTTATATAAGTTGTTTTTATATAGTTGTCAGTGCTTGATAGGTGTGCTGTCTCAGCACTTCACGGAATCTGAGGCTGTGCGATAAGCAGAGGCGGAACCTCTAATACTGGTCCCAGTTTGCCAACCCGGACCGACAGGCGTGCTCTGCCACACTTCCGGATTCACCATTTCAGCATTCATCAAATGAAAGCATTATCCTTGTAAGAACCGATCAAGCCTCGTTTAAAAGCTAGATTGTTTTATACAGTGACCTTCATTAGAGTAATTGCATTTATTATCACTGCCATTAAACTAGTATAGTCAGTGGTTCATTATCTTTTACCCCCTCCCCTCTTAACCCTCCACTCTCCTCCCCTCCTTAAATTATCACATCTAAGTCCCCTCGCAACGCCCCCTCTCCCACCCTCTCCCGTGCCTTTCCCCACCACTCCTTAATTCTCCCCACCCTCCCGCCGATCCGTGCCCTACCCCCAACTCCTTAACATCTCCCCACCTTCCCTCACATCTCCCCCACCCACCTCTACCCTCCCCCACCCTCCCCGTGCCCTCCCCGCCCAGTTGAGTGCAGAGAGAGTGCGAGGTGTCCGTGAGCGATGTTTTATTTACATGTATAAAAGGCTAGCCACCATATTAGCTATTGACACCTGTGTTTTTATTACCTGTGGGACACGAGGGAATACTGTGTACCTGTCCCACGCCCCTCCGCTCTCCCTCCCTCCCCCTCCACCGTCTTTCTCGCTCGCCCTCTCGCCTCTATCTCCTCTCATTCTCCCTCCCTAACCCTCTCTCCGAATACCTTCATATTCCTTTTCCCCACTCTTTATCCCTCCTCGATTCTCGTGCCCTTCCCTTCCTCTTCTCTCTCCTTTAACTCTCTTCTCTTTCTCCTCTCCTCTCTCATCCCTCTCCTCTCCTCTCCTCTTCCCTCTCTCTCCTTCATCCTCTCCTCTCCTCTGCACTCTCGCTCTCGCTCTCCTTCCCTCCTTCCCCTCACTTCCCCTTTCCTCTCCTCTCCTCTTCCTCCCTCTTCTCCTCTCGTTACTCAATTTCTGCACTTGACAATGTTACTGGTAACTTGTATTCAAGTTGTGTGTGTGAACAAGGGAAAGTGAAGGAGAGCTGTAGGAAAATGGAACTGGTGTGTGTAACGTTTGTGGATGATTCTTCTCTCTTCTCTCTCTCTATCCTCTCGTCATCTCTCGTTCCTGCTCTTACTCTCTCTCTCTCATACTCTACTCTCTTGCTGTGCTCTTCTATTCATTCATCCATCTCCTCTCTCGGTCTCGCTCTTTGCTCGTCTCTCTTCGTACTCTCTCTCGTCTTCTACTCCATCACTCATCTCGTTATCTCTCTCTCTTCTCGTCGTTCCTTCATGTCTGCATACGGTAGTCTAACTCTCTCTCTCATATATATACTAAGCATATATATATATATTAGTCATATATAGTGCGTATATACTATATATAGTACTGGTGTGTGTGGTAGTGGTTGTTGCGTTGTGGTGTGCGTGTGTGTGTTGTGAGTGTGTGTGTGTGGTGGTGTTTGTGTGTGTGGTGTAGTATATGTATAGTGTAAATAGTTATATGTAGTATGTATGTATGTATACTATATTAGTATTATATTTATATTAATATATACATATTATATTATATTAATATTATATATGTGTGTGTGTGTGTGGATGTATGTATAGCATATATATGACATCATATATGCTAGTATATACTATACATGACATGCAATTCAATACAATGACCGGCTAAGCAGAGCGATAATTGAGTGCAGTTCTGTCAAGAGACGTCAAATCGAAAGAGACGAATTTTTTTATTGCTTAGATTGTTTGTTATATTTCCGCCGCTTTCTTCGTCTTATTACTTTCTCGGATCGAGGCGCGACGCAACGAGGCGCAGAAGGTCCGCCGCATATCAGGTGAAAATATGGCTAAAACTGTGGTGTTCTACGGCCATAAGATAATACAGAGAATACGCCGCCAAGCGCCCAGAGATGAGTTAGAACGGTTTATAGAACAGGGTACAGCATGGGACGATAATGAGTGGATCAGGTCAGGAGTGAGAGCGATGCATTGAAACAAAGTACCAAGACGCGGATACTGAATCGAGCATAGACTGGCTACTGTTTGTCACATCGAGGGTTCCCTGCATTCTCATCGGCACTCACGTTTATATAGTGCAAGCGCGTAGAAGACAGCTGCTCGGGATGAATTCTAGAGCTTGAGTCAGTAGGCGCGCACCTGGCTACAAATACGGACCCGTGGACTACTGTAGTAGAGACAAGACGCTCGTGAAGGTGACTCTCGTAGCATGTCGACTCGACGAGGAATGCGGAGAATGGGGACACATGACGTCGAATGACAGTAGGGTAATTAATCTCAAGGCCGGATGTGCGCTGTGAGTAATATCGTGGAGGGAGACGCGCGAGTAGGGGCGCGTCATGCGAGATGGTCTATTGATACGTCGTAGGTACGATATTTATATAACATGTATAGGCGGAGGTGGCATGAGTGCACGATTAAAGATCTAGTTCTGGATTTTTTAACGGAGGTTTGTAGTTCCTCTTGTTTATGACCCTTCGTGATTTAGGGTGTGGCGGCATTTGGGTTCGTTTTCTATGTCGTTATTGGCTTTTTAATTTTAGATTTGTTATGTATGGATGAGTACGTACGACGCTACGATACACCGAGATATGGCAGGCCAGGATGGTCGATACTCCATGAGGATCTAGCTGAGGTATGACAGGTAGGGTTCGGCGTGTCTAGCGGATGGGTTCGGTCTCATCTTTTCGATGCAGCTTCTAGTCCATTTAGCCATTCCCGTTCGTATGCTCAGTCCATTCCCTCTTCATCAATTCCTCATCCCTTCCCCTCTCACGTTTCGTCTTCGTCAATCGCCCATCATTCTATCCGTCTCATCGTCCTTTCTTGTCTCTGGTTTTGGTAGTTCCTATCCTCTCCTCCTACTTACTTCCTAGTGTCGGTAGTCGATCTCTGCATAAGCGCCGCGGATGATTGCGTGGTCTGTCTTGTCTGTCGATTGCGCGGATTCTCAGCATGATGCGTCGGTAGTTCGTGATGGATTGCAGTATACTAGGCTCCAACGGAGCCCTGAGTGTCCATTCTTTTCTTGTGTGGTCTGAGACAGGTATCAGTTCTTGTGAGAGATCATGGATGACCTCGCTCTTGCGTGGAAACCTCAGCGCCATAAGCCAT